CAGCCGCGAGCCCAGCCTCAACTGGGTACGGAGCAGCCCCTGGGATTGTGGGATCATCCTTTGGGATTGTGGGAGCATCCCTTGGGATTGTGGGATCATCCTTTGGGATTGTGGGATCATCCCCTGGGATCGGGTCAGCGCCGCCAAGAGCCACGAGTTCAGCCGGGAGCCCAGCCTCAACTGGGTACGGAGCAGCCCCGGGATGGTGGGAGTGTCCCCTGGGATTGTGGGATCATCCTTTGGGATCATGGGAGCATCCCTTGGGGGTGTGGGATCATCCCCTGGGATCGGGTCAGCGCCGCCAAGAGCCACGAGTTCAGCCGCGAGCCCAGCCTCAACTGGGTACGGAGCGGCACCGGGATTGTGGGATCATCCTTTGGGATTGTGGGAGCATCCCCTGGGATTGTGGAGTGTCCCTGGGATGGTGGGAGCATCCCTTTGGGATTGTGGGATCATCCCTGAGATCGGGTAAAGAGCCGCCAAGAGCACGAGTAAGCCGGGAGCCCAGCCTCAACTGGGTAGGAGCAGCATGGGCTGGTGGAGTGTCCCATGGGATTGTGGGATCATCCCCTGGGATTGTGGGAGCATCCCCTGGGATCGGGTCAGTGCCACCAAGAGCCACGAGTTCAGCCGGGAGCCCAGCCTCAACTGGGTACGGAGCGGCACCGGGATTGTGGGATCATCCTTTGGGATTGTGGGATCATCCTTTGGGATTGTGGGAGCATCCCTTGGGGTTGTGGGATCATCCCCTGGGATCGGGTCAGTGCCGCCAAGAGCCACGAGTTCAGCCGCGAGCCCAGCCTCAACTGGGTACGGAGCAGCCCCTGGGATGGTGGGATCATCCTTTGGGATTGTGGGAGCATCCCCTGGGATGGTGGGATCATCCTTTGGGATTGTGGGAGCATCCCCTGGGATTGTGGGATCATCCCCTGGGATTGGGTCAGCGCCGCCAAGAGCCACGAGTTCAGCCGCGAGCCCAGCCTCAACTGGGTACGGAGCAGCCTGGGATGGTGGGAGTGTCCCCTGGGACGGTGGGATCATCCTTTGGGATCGTGGGAGCATCCCTTGGGGTTGTGGGAGCATCCCCTGGGATTGTGGGAGCATCCCCTGGGATCGGGTCAGCGCCGCCAAGAGCCACGAGTTCAGCCGGGAGCCCAGCCTCAACTGGGTACGGAGCAGCCTGGGATCGTGGGATCATCCTTTGGGATTGTGGGAGCATCCCTTGGGATGGTGGGATCATCCTTTGGGATTGTGGGATCATTCTTTGGGATCATGGGAGCATCCCTTGGGATTGTGGGATCATCCCTTGGGGGTGTGGGATCATCCCTTGGGATCGGGTCAGCGCCGCCAAGAGCCACGAGTTCAGCCGCGAGCCCAGCCTCAACTGGGTACGGAGCAGCCTGGGATCGTGGGATCATCCCCTGGGATTGTGGGATCATCCTTTGGGATTGTGGGATCATCCCCTGGGATCGGGTCAGTGCCACCAAGAGCCACGAGTTCAGCCGGGAGCCCAGCCTCAACTGGGTACGGAGCATCCCCTGGGATTGTGGGAGCATCCTTTGGGATTGTGGGAGCATCCCCTGGGATTGTGGGAGCATCCCCTGGGATCGGGTCAGTGCCGCCAAGAGCCACGAGTTCAGCCGGGAGCCCAGCCTCAACTGGGTACGGAGCAGCCTGGGATGGTGGGAGTGTCCCCTGGGATTGTGGGAGCATCCTTTGGGATTGTGGGAGCATCCCTTGGGGGTGTGGGATCATCCCCTGGGATCGGGTCAGCGCCGCCAAGAGCCACGAGTTCAGCCGCGAGCCCAGCCTCAACTGGGTACGGAGCATCCCCTGGGATTGTGGGAGCATCCTTTGGGATCATGGGAGCATCCCTTGGGATTGTGGGAGCATCCCTTGGGGGTGTGGGATCATCCCCTGGGATCGGGTCAGCGCCGCCAAGAGCCACGAGTTCAGCCGCGAGCCCAGCCTCAACTGGGTACGGAGCAGCCCTGGGATTGTGGGATCATCCCTTGGGATTGTGGGAGCATCCCCTGGGATTGTGGGATCATCCCCTGGGATTGGGTCAGCGCCGCCAAGAGCCACGAGTTCAGCCGCGAGCCCAGCCTCAACTGGGTACGGAGCAGCCTGGGATGGTGGGAGTGTCCCCTGGGACGGTGGGATCATCCTTTGGGATCGTGGGAGCATCCCTTGGGGTTGTGGGATCATCCCCTGGGATCGGGTCAGCGCCGCCAAGAGCCACGAGTTCAGCCGGGAGCCCAGCCTCAACTGGGTACGGAGCAGCCTGGGATGGTGGGAGCGTCCCTTGGGATGGTGGGGTCATCCCTTGGGATGGTGGGAGCATCCACTGGGATTACGGGATCATCTCCTGGGATCACAGGAGCATCTGCTGGGATCGTGGGATCGTCCCCTGGGATGGTGGGATCATCACTTGGGATTGTGGGATCATCCTTTGGGATCGTGGGATCATCACTTGGGATCATGGGATCCTCCCCTGGGATTGTGGGATCCTCCCCTGGGATCATGGGGTCTTTCCCTGGGATCGTGGGATCATCCCCAGGATTGTGGGATCATCCCGTGGGATCATCCCCTGGGATCGTGGGATCATCCCTTGGGATCGTGGGATCATCCCCTGGGATTGTGGGATCCTCCCCCGGGATGGTGAGATCATCCCCCGAGATCGTGGGAGCATCCCTTGGGATTGTGGGATCATTCGTTTGGGATCATGGGATCACTCCCTGGGATAGTGGGATCCTCCCTGGGATGGTGGGATCCTCCCTCTGGGATCACGGGATCATCCCCCGGGATCACGGGATCATCCCCCGGGATCATGGGATCATCCCTTGGGATCGTGGGATCACCCTTTGGGATCATGGGATCACTCCCCAGGATCATGAGATCACCTCTCGGGGTTGTGGGATCACCCGTGGGATTGTCGGAATGGGGGGAATGGGGCTGGACGGGCCCGGCTCTGGGGGTCCCTCCGTGGTCTGGGGGTCCCTCCATGGTCCGGGGGTCCCTCCATGGTCTGGGGGTCCCTCCATGGTCCGGGGGTCCCTCCATGGTCTGGGGGTCCCTCCATGGTCCGGGGGTCCCTCCATGGTCTGGGGGTCCCTCCATGCTCTGGGGGTCCCTCCATGCTCTGGGGGTCCCTCCATGGTCTGGGGGTCCCTCCATGGTCTGGGGGTCTCTCCATGGTCCGGGGGTCCCTCCATGGTCTGGGGGTCCCTCCGTGGTCTGGGGGTCCCTCCATGGTCCGGGGGTCCCTCCATGGTCCAGGGGTTCCTCCATGTTCTGGGAGTCCCTCCATGTTCCGGGGGTTCCTCCATGGTCCGGGAGTCCCTCCATGATCCGGGGGTCCCTCCATGGTCCGGGGGTCCCCCCATGGTCCAGGGGTCCCTCCGTGGTCCGGGGGTCCCTCCATGGTCCGGGGGTCCCTCCGTGGGGGTCCCTCCATGCTCTGGGGGTCCCTCCATGCTCTGGGGGTCCCTCCGTGGTCCGGGGGTCCCTCCGTGGGGGTCCCTCCATGCTCTGGGGGTCCCTCCATGCTCTGGGGGTCCCTCCATGCTCTGGGGGTCCCTCCATGCTCTGGGGGTCCCTCCATGGTCCGGGAGTCCCTCCATGTTCCGGGGGTTCCTCCATGGTCCGGGGGTCTCTCCATGGTCCGGGGGTCCCCCCGTGGTCCGGGGGTCCCTCCATGGTCTGGGGGTCCCGTCCCCATCCGGGGTTCCCTCCATGGTCCGGGGGTCCCTCCATGTTCCGGGGGTCCCTCCATGGTCCGGGGGTCCCTCCATGTTCCGGGGGTCCCTCCATGGTCCGGGAGTCCCTCCGTGGGGGTCCCCCCATGCTCTGGGGGTCCCTCCATGGTCCGGGGGTCCCTCCGTGGTCCGGGGGTCCCTCCATGGTCCGGGGGTCCCGTCCCCATCCAGCTCCAGCCCTCGTTGTCCTCGTGGTGGGGAGTTGCTTCCCGGTGTCCCAGCTCCGCGGGGCTGTTCCCGCGGGAATCATCAGCCCTTGTCCCGGCACTCCGGGGGGTGGGAAGGGACTGGAAGCCCCTCCAGTGTCACCCCCTGCCACGGGCAGGGACAGTTCCCGCTATCCCGGAGCGCTCCAGCCTGGCCTTGGGCCCTTCCAGGGACGGGGCAGCCACGGCTCCTCTGGGGAATCTCTTCCCGGGGTGGTTCCCATCCCATTCCGTGTTTCCGTGGTGGCTCCTGTCACGTTCCCGTTCCCTGTTCCCGTAGCGCCTTGTCCCATTTCCCATTCCGGGGCTGGTTCCTGTTCCCCTTCCTCGTTCCCGTGGTGATTCCCATCCCATTCCCTGTTCCCATGGCAGCTCCCGTCCCATTCCCTGTTCCTGTGCTGGTTCCTGTCCCGTTCCCCGTTCCTGTGGTGATTCCTGTTCCATTCCCTGTTCCCATTCCCCATTCCTGTGGTGATTCCTGTTCCATTCCCTGTTCCCATGGAGATTCCCTGTTCCCATTCCCTGTTCCTGTGCTGGTTCCTGTCCCATTCCCCATTCCTGTGGTGATTCCCGTCCCATTCCCTGTTCCCATGGCAGCTCCCGTCCCATTCCCTGTTCCTGTGCTGGTTCCTGTCCCATTCCCCATTCCTGTGGTGATTCCTGTTCCATTCCCTGTTCCCATGGCACCTCCCATCCCATTCCCTGTTCCTGTGCTGGTTCCTGTCCCATTCCCCGTTCCTGTGGTGATTCCTGTTCCATTCCCTGTTCCCATGGCAGCTCCCGTCCCATTCCCTGTTCTGGTGCTGGTTCCTGTCCTGTTCCTCGTTCCCATGGTGGTTCCTGTTCCATTCCCTGTTCCCATGGCAGCTCCCGTCCCATTCCCTGTTCCTGTGCTGGTTCCTGTCCCATTCCCCGTTCCTGTGGTGATTCCTGTTCCATTCCCTGTTCCCATTCCCCGTTCTTGTGGTGATTCCTGTTCCCATTCCGTGTTCCCATTCCCCCTTCTCGTGGTGATTCCTGTTCCTGTTCCTGTTCCCCGTTCCCATGGAGATTCCCCGTTCCCATTCCCTGTTCCCCTTCCCTGTTCTTGTGGTGATTCCCGGCCCATTCCCTGTTCCCATTCCTCATTCCCATGGTGATTCCCGTTCCCATTCCCCATTCCCATTCCCTGTTCCTTCAGTGATTCCCATTCCCCGTTCCCGTGGTCATTCCCTGTTCCAGTTCCCCATTCCCATGGTGATTCCCATTCCCCATTCCCATTCCCTGTTCCCGTTCCCTGTTCCCACTGTAATTCTCGTTCCCGTTCCCCATTCCCTGATTCCCTGTTCCCATTCCCTGTTCCCATTCCTGCAGTGATTCCCTGTTCCCATTCCCCATTCCCACTGTGATTCCTGTTCCCATTCCTGTTCCCATTCCCACTGTAATTCCCATTCCCAGGTGGTGAACTCGGTGAACTGCAGCCTGTTCTCGTTCCCATTCCCACTGTAATTCCCATTCCGAGGTGGTGAACTCTGTGAACTGCAGCCTCTTCTCGTTCCCTGTTCCCGTTCCCATTCCCGCTGTAATTCCCATTCCCAGGTGGTGAACTCGGTGAACTGCAGCCTGTTCTCGTTCCCATTCCTGCTGTAATTCCCATTCCCAGGTGGTGAATTCCGTGAACTGCAGCCTGTTCTCGTTCCCATTCCCGTTCCCATTCCCGCTGTAATTCCCATTCCCATTCCCAGGTGGTGAATTCCGTGAACTGCAGCCTGTTCCTGTTCCCATTCCCTGTTCCCGTTCCCATTCCCGTTGTAATTCCCATTCCCATTCCCGTTTCCAGGTGGTGAATTCCGTGAACTGCAGCCTGTTCCCGTTCCCATTCCCGCTGTAATTCCCATTCCCGTTCCCGTTTCCAGGTGGTGAATTCCGTGAACTGCAGCCTGTTCCTGTTCCCATTCCCTGTTCCCATTCCCATTCCCGCTGTAATTCCCATTCCCGTTCCCGTTTCCAGGTGGTGAATTCCGTGAACTGCAGCCTGTTCTCGTTCCCATTCCCATTCCCGCTGTAATTCCCATTCCCATTCCCATTCCCAGGTGGTGAATTCCGTGAACTGCAGCCTGTTCCCGTTCCCATTCCCATTCCCGTTCCCAGGTGGTGAACTCGGTGAACTGCAGCCTGTTCCCGTTCCCATTCCCTGTTCCCATTCCCTGTTTCCAGGTGGTGAATTCCGTGAACTGCAGCCTGTTCTCGTTCCCATTCCCTGTTCCCGTTCCCATTCCCGCTGTAATTCCCATTCCCAGGTGGTGAATTCTGTGAACTGCAGCCTGTTCTCGTTCCCATTCCCATTCCCAGGTGGTGAATTCCGTGAACTGCAGCCTGTTCTCGTTCCCGTTCCCATTCCCGCTGTAATTCCCATTCCCGTTCCCGTTCCCAGGTGGTGAACTCCGTGAACTGCAGCCTGTTCTCGGCCGTGCGGGAGGATTTCAAGGCGCTGAAGCCGCTGCTCTGGGACGCGGTGGACGAGGAGATCTGTCTGTCCGAGTGTGACATCTACAGGTACCGACCCTTCCTGTACATCTGTCTGTCCGAGTGTGACATCTACAGGTACCGACCCTGCCCTTCCCACAGATCTGTCTGTCCGAGTGTGACACCTACAGGTACCACCCTTAGATCTGTCCGAGTGTGACACCTACAGGTACCACCCTTAGATCTGTCTGAGTGTGACACCTACAGGTACCACCCTTAGATCTGTCCGAGTGTGACACCTACAGGTACTGACCCTTAGATCTGTCTGTCCGAGTGTGACATCTACAGGTACCACCCTTAGATCTGTCTGAGTGTGACACCTACAGGTACCACCCTTAGATCTGTCCGAGTGTGACACCTACAGGTACTGACCCTTAGATCTGTCCGAGTGTGACACCTACAGGTACCACCCTTAGATCTGTCTGAGTGTGACACCTACAGGTACTGACCCTTAGATCTGTCTGTCCGAGTGTGACACCTACAGGTACTGACCCTTAGATCTGTCTGTCCGAGTGTGACACCTACAGGTACCACCCTTAGATCTGTCCGAGTGTGACACCTACAGGTACTGACCCTTAGATCTGTCTGAGTGTGACATCTACAGGTACTGACCCTTAGATCTGTCTGAGTGTGACACCTACAGGTACCACCCTTAGATCTGTCTGTCCGAGTGTGACACCTACAGGTACCACCCTTAGATCTGTCTGAGTGTGACACCTACAGGTACTGACCCTTAGATCTGTCCGAGTGTGACACCTACAGGTACCACCCTTAGATCTGTCCGAGTGTGACACCTACAGGTACCACCCTTAGATCTGTCTGAGTGTGACACCTACAGGTACTGACCCTTAGATCTGTCTGAGTGTGACACCTACAGGTACTGACCCTTAGATCTGTCTGAGTGTGACACCTACAGGTACCACCCTTAGATCTGTCCGAGTGTGACACCTACAGGTACCACCCTTAGATCTGTCCGAGTGTGACACCTACAGGTACCACCCTTAGATCTGTCCGAGTGTGACACCTACAGGTACTGACCCTTAGATCTGTCCGAGTGTGACACCTAACAGGTACAACCCTTAAGATCTGTCCGAGTGGTGACACCTACAGGTACGGACCCTTAGATCTGTCCGAGTGTGACACCTACAGGTACTGACCCTTAGATCTGTCCGAGTGTGACACCTACAGGTACCACCCTTAGATCTGTCCGAGTGTGACACCTACAGGTACCGACCCTTCCCGTGGGAATGCTGCCCTGGGAGAGGGTCTATCCCACAGGAGAGGGTCTATCCCACAGGAGAGGGGCTATCCCACGGGACAGGGGCTATCCCACAGGAGAGGGGCTTTCCCACGGGAGAGGGGCTATCCCACGGGAGAGGGGCTTTCCCACGGGAGAGGAGCTATCCCATGGGAGAGGGGCTATCCCACAGGAG